CAGGTAATGATGTTAAGTGAAATAAGCCAAGCACAGAAAGACAAATACTGCATAATCTAACTTATATGTGGAATCTAAAAAAAAAAAAATTGAACTCACAGAAATAGAGAAGCAAGCAGAATCATGGTTAACAGATGCTGGGAGGGGAAGAGTAATGGGGAGTTATTAGTCAAAGGGTACAAACTTTAAGTAAGAGGAATGTAAGTTTCAGAGATCTATGGCATAGTAGGGTGACTATAGTTAATAATAATGTATTGTATATTTGAAAATTTGCCAAGAATAGATTTAAAATATTTTCATAGAAAAAAATAAGTATGTGAGGTGATGGATATGTTAAAGCTTGATTTAATCATTCTACAATGTATACATAAATGAAAATATTACATTGTATCTCATAAATATATAATTATTATTTGTTAATTAAAAATTTAAAAATAAAATGCCATGTCTCAACCACAAATAAAAAACAATATATCTTACTAATAACCTAAAAAAGAAAAACTATATGCTTATAACAATTTATGCAGAAAAAGTATTTGAGAAAATTAAACATCTATTCATGATAAAAACCCTCAGTAATCTAGGACTAGAAGGAAACTTCCTCAACCTAACAAGGGGCATCTACGAAAACATACAGTGAATTTGACTTCTATTCCAGCCTCTTAGAAAAATACAAAACCCAAAAAACAAAAACTACAACCATACAGTGGATATAATAATGGTGAAAGACCAAACACTTTCCATCTAGTGCAGGGATGTCTGTTCTCTACTCCAACATCACACAGAAGGTCATAGCCAATACAATAAGGCAAGAATGAGTAAAAGCATACAGGTTGGAAAGAAAGTAATAAAATTGTCTCTATTGACAGATGACCTGATTGTCTACACAGAAAAAAAAACATGAATATCTATATATTGGTATGTAGATATGTGGATATTCATACATACTAATATATAAATAAAAGTTATTAGAATAAGTAAATTTATCAAGATTGGTGGATATAAGGTCAATATACAAAAGTCATATTTCAATGTACTAGAAATGAAACATGGAAATTAAATAAGACAGTGCTCTTTAAAACAGCACTAAAACATGAAATACTTAATTGTCAATTTTATAAAGTATGTACAAGATCCATATTCTAAAAACTACAAACACTGATGGAAGAAATTAAAGAAGACCTAAATAAATTGAGAGACACATGGGTTCATGGATCAGAAGGGTCAATATAGTAAAGATGCTAATTTCTCCCACATTTATCTATAGAGCCAATAGAATTCCAATATAAATCCAGTAGAATTTCTGCAGAACTTTACAAACAAATTCTAAAATTTATGTGGAAACAAAGGAATCAGAATAATCAAAATAATTTTGCAAAAGAAAAATTGGAGGACTCAAATCATCTGATTTCAAAGTTTCTATAAAGTTACACTTTCAAGGTAGTGTGTTATTAAAGAAAGGATAGACATATAGACCATTGGAACAAAAGAGAGTCTTGAAATTAACCCATACATAGTCAATTAATTTTTGACAAACGTGAAAAAGCAATTCAATGGAGAAAGAATAGCTTTTTCAAGAAATGATGCTGAATAATTGAATATCCATATGCAAAAAATAAACCTTGATCTATTAATATATCTTGCCCTTACAAAATCTAACTCAAAATGGATCATAGACCTAAATGTAAAACCCAACACTATAAAAATTTTTGAGGAAAACATAGGAGAAATCTTTGACTTTGAGTTAGGCAAATATTTCTTAGATACAACACCCCAAGTCTCATCATTTTAAAAGAAAAATTGGACTTCAAAGTTGAGAACACCTGCTCTTTGAAAGACACTGTTAAGAGAGTAGAAAGACGAACCACAGAGTGGGAGAAAATATTTGCAAATCCTTATATGATAAAAGACTTATATCCCAAATATATAAACTATGGAAGTTCAATATTAAGAAAATAAACAACCCAATTTAAAAATGATCAAAAGATTTGAACAAATGCTTCAACAAAGAAGATACCTGGATGGCAAATAACAAAAAAATTGCTCAACATCATTGGGAAAAGACACACAAAGCACAATCACAATGAGGTATCACTATATACCTATCTGAATGTAAAAAAGATAAAACAAAATCCAAACAATACCAAGTGGAGAAACTGGAACTCTCATACATTGTTGGTGAGAGTGCAAATAGGCATAGCTCCCTTGGAAAGCATTTTGCAGTTTCTTACGAAGTTAAACATATGCTTATCATGTGACCCAACAGTTCCACTTTTAGGTAAATGCACACAAAAACCTATTCGCAAATGTTTACAGCAGTTTTATTTATAATCATCCCAAACTGTAAACAACATAAATGCTCCTCAGCTGGTGAAGTGATGAACTGTGGTGTATGTATACAGTTGAACACTACTCAGCAATGAAAAGGGATGAACTACTGATGCACTCAACACAGGTGAATTTCAAAAACATGATGCTCACTGAAAGAGGCCAGGCACAAAGGAATATATACTATATAATTATATTTACATAAAATTTTAAAAAATATAAACTAATTTATATGTCCGGAAAGCAGATCAATGGTTGCCTGGTGCTGGAGGTAGGAGGAGGGATGGACTGCAATGGGTGTGAGGAAACTTTGGGAGTGATGTTCCGTGGTTTTATTGTGCTTCTGATTATAGAATATTATTTTTACCAAAACAAATTGTATTGAGCAACTGGATTCTATTTGGGAAAAACAAAAAATTTCTCTGCCTTATAAAAAAATTCAGATAGATAAAACATACAAAGTTATGCAGTATTGGACACCTGATATGGTGGGGAAATATTAGAAATTATTGAAAGGAAATGAGTATTTATGATTGGTGTAGGCTAAGATTAGATAACAGTACATACAGCAAAAAACATGAAAGTGTGCTAAGCATAATTGCATCTATTTAATTATAACAGTTTCACCTCAAAAACACTGGAAATGGCCGGGCGCGGTGGCTCACGCCTGTAATCCTAGCTCTCTGGGAGGCCGAGGCAGGCGGATTGTTTGAGCTTAGGAGTTCGAGACCAGCCTGAGCAAGAGCGAGACCCCGTCTCTACCAAAAATAGAAAGAAATTAATTGGACAGCTAAAAATATATAGAAAAAATTAGCCGGGCATGGTGGCGCATGCCTGTAGTCCCAGCTACTCGGGAGGCTGGGGCAGGAGGATCGCTTGAGCCCAGGAGTTTGAGGTTGCTGTGAGCTAGGCTGACACCACGGCACTCACTCTAGCCAGGGCAAAAGAGTAAGACTCTGTCTCAAAAAAAAAAAACAAAACACTGGAAATAACTTATCTGAACATAGAAATTGCACCTCTTAAAAAAATTAACAACAGCTTCATGATACTCCATTTAAATTACTGTAGTAATTTAAACAAATCTTTTGTTTGGGTTGTTAAGTAGTTTCCAGCATTAAGCAGTCACAAGTGACACCGTAATGAACAGCCAATGTATTTTTAATCATTGGATTACATTGGTAGTTCAAAGGGTATATGTATATGTATTGTTAGATATTGCAAAAAATGCACTATAAGCATTATAATGACAAACAGTCTGAAAGAAAATATTTGTAAAGCATATAAAAGACAAGACTTCTATGTACAATATGGAAAATCTCAAGGAAAATAATTTAAAGGCAAGCAAATCAGAGGAAAAATTAGCAATTTGGAGATAAAGGCAGCTCACTAAAGAAGCAACCCAAATGATGAATGAACTCAAAAAGAGTACAAACCTTCAAGTAAAGATAGGATATTGAGGATATAATCTTCCATACACTGCCTGTGGGAGTATAAATTGAGAGCCACTTTGGAAAGTCTTTTGACTTCTATTGCAAGTGCTGTGACTTCCAAGAACTAGCAATTCTCTTTTCAGGTGTAAGTTTATTCCTATCTATCCTCAATCAGAATCGTGGGATAAAACCTACTCACCCTTTAACGTGGAAATTACAAATTTTCCAGGAAAGTTTAGGTCACAAAGCAGGGCTTACCGGGTCAGCAGTGGCAGATCATGCTGCATGTGTCCCAGGTGACAGCAGCTCTTGAGATAAGGATAGCGGCCTTCCTCCTCCCACATGTACATATGCAAAGAGTCATCCAAGGATGTAGTGAGGACATGGAGAGAATCCTTCAAAGGACACCCTGAGTAAGTGGCCACAAAGTCGAATTCAGATCAAAAGCAGTGGGAGGAGAAGGATCATACGTACCACCCACAAGTTGTCAATGGTTTTCTGGTGGTCCTGAAATTGTAGCAGCAGGAGGCCATTGATAGTGAAGAGGAACAAGGACGGCCCGCTCGCAAAAACGATCAGGTTTTCAGCACCAGCTCCCATCCACAGAGGACTCTGCACGTGAACTGGTAACAGGAAACTTCCGATCTGATGTGCTGTTTTCATTCAAAACACATATGTGCATATACACACACAGGCAGGTAAAGATGGAATCATTTTGTCAGAACAATATCCTTACACTGAATGGAAAAACACTCCCTACTCCCCTGGGACTTCAGTCCTGTGAGGAAAACAGAGGGTAGTCCAGTGGCCCGACAACACGTCTCTGACCACGATAATGGGTGCTACGACACAGGCACAGAAGGCTGTGAATGAGAAATAATAGCTCAGGCATTGAGGGAAGGCCTGGAGTGGGAAGGGGCATTAGAATCCAGGCCCTAAAACATGATGGAAATCTCAGCATGTCTGCCCAGGGTGGAGTGCAGAGGTCAGCGTGGGTGTTAGCGTCAAACAAGCGTGGGCTCACCCCCAGCCAAAGAAATCCCCTGTTCCCTTTACACAGATCGACCTATTTACATGAATTCACAGCTTAACGTGAACGCATGTGATAAGGAAGAGAAGCAAGCTTTTCTGACGTGGTGTAGGCTACCTTGGATGACTGTTTGGCCCTCAGTGCTCTCAGTTGCTAGATCAAAGGTGGTGAATCCCGTTGTTTTGGTAGTGCCTTTTCGGAACATCAGTGTTATCCTACTTTCCTTCCTTGGGATCCAGCAGGCTCTGTAGCATGATACACATGGGAGACCCAGAGACACAGGGAAGCTGCCCTCTGATGGTTTCAGTAAGCTCTCTGTGAGAAATGCCTGAAGAGAGAGTATTTGCACTTGTCGTCAGGTGAAGGGGGAAGTTGTAGCATCTTGGTGCAGGAGTGACTTCAGAAAAGCCTCCTTAAAAATCCCCATCCTGTGGCCAAAGCCTATTCTGCATCTCAGGAAGGGTTGAGCGGTTGCTGCTTGTCACTTCAACAAATAGGGAACTGTCTTTCTATCCTCCCTGTCACGTTCACAGGTAGAATGAAGTCCCTGAAGCATGGCAATGGCAAGAGGTTATAAAACCATCTTGCCACGTTGAACCCCTGATCAAGTTGAGGTTGATGCTTTTGGAGAGCTAGTCAGGGGATGTTTTGCTTTTACTACCTCCTGCCTTAACTCCTTACTCTTTGGTGCCCAGTCCATGGGTGCCATGCTACCAATGGCCTGCTCAAAGGCTAAAGACTTCCTCAGAGTGACAGTCAGAGCTGATGCGTACTTACTTACTTGTGGGCTTTGCTGTACTTTCCAGCCAAGGCAGATAAAAGGAAAGCAAAAGTGAACAAGGTTACCAAAGATCCCAATTTCTTGATACCTCTTTCAACCTCTTCCATCTCTTTGGCAGATTCAGGCTTCCCGAACAAATTTTCATTAATAAACATTTGCCGTGGCAACTGGATACTATCGTTTCCCAGAGCATTGTTTCCTGACTACAGGATGCATTCCCCTTGTGATATGGTCTTAGAGAGGAAGGAGCAGTATGCCTGGTCCTGAGCTCTGCAGTTTCTCTAAATATTTTCTAACCTGATCTTCCTCATGCTTGACCCTCCCATCTGGAAGCTGAGGTACACAGAGCCGCACCTACCTTTGGCAAGACATACTGCTGTATTCCACACGCAAAGACCCATTTCTTGTCAGGAGAGCAATGTAGAAGATCAACACTATGATGAAATGCCTTGACTTTTGAAATAATCTTTAACCCAGGCACTGCAAATGTGTAGATGTCCCCTTCAGAATCACCAACCTGAAACCAAAGCGTCCTTACCATAGCAACAGAAAGAGACATGAAATCCTAAAGTACACAGGAGGCAGCACTGTCTGCTGCAAGATATGCCACATAATGAAGATCAAAACCTCTCAGCAGCCTGCCTCACACGTTGTTGGGATGATCCCATACAATAAAACTTTCTAAGCCCCAAAGCACTCTTCTCAAGGATAGTTATTCATTAGCATATTAACACTATACTTTTTCTCAATGTCTCCGCAAACCCATCTCTCCCCTCCACTGTCCCTGTTCAAGTTCATGGACTATACAATAACACACACTTGAAAGAAGAGAAGAAATAATAATTGAAATAATATTGAAATAATTCAGGAAGTTTTCTGTTTCTTTTTTGTTTTTTTAAGAATGGCTGAAGAAATGTACTTGAGTTAGGTCAAAGGCCAAGATAGTATGGAGGTTTGTGTGGCAACACCCCTTGCAATATTGTGACCGACTCTCAGGGTATGTGGAAGGGATGACTCCAAGACGACAGATTGGGATGTGACAGTATTGGGAACTCGACACCTGTCAAGGCAGCAGGCATTTTGATTTGTGGACCCCCTCCAGATCCAGGGCTCACTCACCATCAGGATTGGGCCACCCTTTGAGAAATAGGCTTCCATGGAAGAACAGGCCCGCGGCATGGCAAAAGCAGCCAGAGCATCCCTGTCCTGACAATTCCACACTTTGATAGTCCCCTCGATATCCAGAGTGATTGCGAGATGCATCTGAGGGATCGTTGCCAGATACCCAATTCTGGACTGCTGGGCTGGGCTCGACCACATCACGACGCCCTAGGGAACAAGAGTAACACTATCTGTGCCCAAGGAGCTCTTTGCACCTACTGTTTTCTTTCTGCCCATGTTTATTTGGAAGCCTCTTCAAAATCAGATCCGCTTCTTGCTTCTGGGAAAAGGATATGAATATTCTAAACATCTCAATTATTTGTGGGCAGTGAACATGAAAGCAGGAACTATGCAACATACTCAGAGACAGGAGCTTGCTGCGTGACAGACATAAAGAATGACCAAACTTCCTGGGCTCAAATTAGTTCTGCCTCTTACTAACCACGCAACATTCAGCAAGGCACTTACTACCATGGCTTCTTGGCTTCTTATGGGCCTGTTATCACATTTCACAACACATGAAACATACTTAGAATTCTGGCTAGGACATAGTAGGAGCTCAAAAGGTATTACCTATCTTGCAGATCGTTATTCCATCATCAACTTTGTACATTGCAAACAAGACAGAATAGTTTCCTTTCTAGACTTTTCTTCAACCTTTTTGAAAAAAATGTGAAGTTTATCATAAAAAAGAGAGTAAAAACATAAATGTAAAGTTTAATAAATTTTTATTAATATAAGTGAATACCAATGTACTACTTCTAAGCCCTCCCAAAGTCCCGTTGCACTTATTCAATTTAATAACCCCTCTAGGCTGGGCGCAGTGGCTCACGCCTAGCACTCTGGGAGGCCAAGGCGGGAGGATCACTTGAGGTTAGGAGTTCAAGACCAGCCTGAGCAAGAGTGAGACCTCGTCTCTACTAAAAATAGAAAAAATTAGTTGGGTGTGGCGGTGTGTGCCTGTAGTCCCAGCTACTCAGGAGGCTGAGGCAGGAGGATCGCTTGAGCCCAGGAGTTTGAGGTTGCTGTGAACTAGGCTGATGCCACAGCACTCTAGCCTGGGCAACAGAGCGAGACTGTCTCAGAAGAAAACAATAAAATAACCCCTCCATCCCTCTCAAATGTAATTACTACTTTGATTCCTAACACTATAACAGGTTTCCTGTGTAGTGATATCTATTGCTATGTAGAAAATTCTCTCAAGATTTAGTGGCTTAAAACAACAAGCTTGGCTGAGTGCGGTGGCTCACACCTGTAATCCTAGCACTCTGGGAGGCCGAGGCGGGAGGATTGCTTCAGCTCGGGAGTTCAAGACCAGCCTGAGCAAGAGAGAGACCCCATCTCTACTATAAACAGAAAGAAATTAAACAAACAACTAAAAATAGAAAAAATTAGCCGGGCACGGTGGCATGTGCCTGTAGTCCCAGCTACTCGGGAGGCTGAGGCAGGAGGATCGCTTGAGCCCAGGGGTTTGAGGTTGCTGTGAGCTAGGCTGATGCCA